GGGGGGGGGGGGGGGGGGGGGGGGAGAGAAATCATGAGATAGGCCACGTACCGTATGATGGCGACGAGCATGTCGAAACAGCCAGACTGCTTGACAGACTAAGCACGTCCCGAGGAGACTCACCTCGTAGATGGTTCAGCGGATAAGGGATATAGCTGAGGATAAGGATAAGGCGCTGCTGGATTTTCCAGGAGGTAGAGGATGAAGAAGAAGAAGAAAAAGAGGAAGACGTTTGCACCAGTAGATTCGTGTCGAGCCGCGTGCGTGAGGGTCCTGTTTGTGGCTATGGAAAGGAAGAAGGCAAAGAGGCTAAGGGGTAGATTGAGAGTGTGGGAGCAGTCGGGTTGGTCGCTAAAGAAGAAAAATAAAAGGAGTAGGAAAATAAAGATAGTTAAAGATGGAGGATGCATTGAAAAGGCCCTCAACTTCTTTTGACGTTAATGCGAATTTAATGTGCGGGTATTTCGCATTCGTACCGTATACCTGGCAACGCCAGCGTCGCCGTTACTACCAACGTCAGTATCGTCCCCACCGTCGCATCACTAGCTTCATGAGCAATAGCCATCCACAGCCAGTGGCGCCAGCAACCCAAGTCGATGCCAGCGGCGAAAGCACAATCCACGAGCTGTAAGCTGTTTGGATTATTCCTCGTCGTACTACTTTATTTATGTTCATCTCACCCGGAAGACGTAAAGCAAAAGATTCTTTGGGCGGCAGCCTGCTCGGGTATCGACCAAGAGTACCAACCACCGTATCTGCCACGGTAAACCCTTGGCCGTCCATTCATACCACATTATACTTTATACCGGCATTCTCGGCGTTAAAGCATTCTTTCACATTTTCTTAAGACCTGCTGTGACATCTATATTCACACGCACATTTCTATACAGATTCAGACGTCTTTGAAAATTCTTTATGGTCAATACAGACTTCACAGTATGTGGATATACCGGAAATAAAGTCTCTTAGGGTTGAAAAAACTGCTTTCCGTTGTTCCTGACCTGGCAAGAAAGAGCTCTTTTGTAAAAACTAAATTTCAATTAATTTTATTTTACAGAAAATCCTGAAGTATTTCTTAAGGTTTTCATGGCGTCTTAGCATGTGTTATAGAAGATTCTTTTAGGTTTTTCAATATTCTCCTTTGCGACATGTTTCAAACTCACATTGCCTATTCTCTCAGCGATGATTCAGATCATTGAATGACATGATGTTATTTCAGGAGCTTTCATTTACCGCCATTAACGTCCATTGACTTATCCACCTTCATGCAGGCTTTTTAGCCCTCGCACACTTCTGCTTGATTCTACCCGATTTCGTTGTTACTCAGACTCCTATTAATATCAGACTTTCTTAGTTCGCTTTTCTCTCCAATCAGCTAAATCTCCAGTGCATATAGGGTCCTTTTCTCTTTCATTCCTTCTTTCGTCATCTGTCTTTTACTGGAGCCCACACTCGCCTTACCACTCTGTTTATATACTGATATACCTGTCAATGCAGTCCATCCGCTTTGAGAGTGACCCCTGAATTACGTTCACGAATAACTAAACCAATAAAGCAAGACATTGTTCTATCCTAATTTATAAACGTATTTCATATTTGGAAGCTTCTACGTTTATTTGGATATTGTAGATGAAGTTATCCGGCCTCCTTATTTAGCCTGCTCTGCAGATTTCCAACGGAAGCTGTCCAGAGCAGCAGTGATTCCGTCGGAATGGAAAACTGAAGAAATAAAGAAAAGAAGAGTTTGATAAGGTCCATTTTGGTAGTCGGGACATGTACCTTGCTCAAAGACGGACGCCTGTAGGAAAAAGAAAGGGATAGAAGAACACAGCCGCAAGATGGAGACCAAGAGAATTCGGTAGGCAGAACGCGCGAGAAATGAAATGTCAGATTAAAATTCCAGTCGACGCGGTGAATTTCAAGTTCCAGGCGATCGAAGTTAAATGAAATGGTGGAAAGTTGGCATTTCTTTTTGTAACAGCTCACGGCAACGCAGAAAGACCATCCATGCCCTCCGACCCTTCAAAGCTTTAAGTAAAATAACGCGCACTTCACGTTTCCAGCCTCCGCCTCCTCGTTCCCTGCTGACTTCTGCGCGTGACATCAACCGTGCACGCTGGTTCTATTGTGCGACCTGAAAGAGTTGGCGCCCGACAATGCACCATCTCCTGGTTTTACTTGCGCGATCCGACGTTGTGTTCCTTGCCCTGGCTTTAACCTTTCCTCTTTCTTTCCCTTTTCCGTCTTTGACACGCCTTTCCTCGGC